AAAAAAAAACGGTAACCTGGTTGCCGAGTTCACGAGGCGAATTGGCATGTTTCACAACGTCGTTCCCAAGCGACGAAAACCCGATCCCGATGGCAAACACCGGGGGGAAACACCGAGGGGGGGGGGGAGGGGCGTACTCTTATGTTCTGCATGCCTTAGCGGTTAGACCATTGACCGCACGTCCTCGATAGGACGGAGCATTGTTCCCACAGGACCGATCACCGATGGCCAATCGTTCCTTTCTACTTTGCCAAAGGTGGCTCAAAAATGTCTTCCCTAGTCTGTCTATCCTAACGATATCCCTTCCCGCCTTTTCAACCCACCTCCTATGCCCCAGTACAGCTACCGTACTTTCCTTTGTATCCCATGCCTCAAACATCTCCCTGTGCGTCCCATCTATTTTTCCCAGCTCAGTCACGTACACTTGCCTCTCCTTCTTGTACCACGGACATTCCGCGACTACATGAACACGGTCTTCGCATTCGAAGCCGCAATCACATTTGAACTCGTCGACTTCGTCGTCTACCGTCCTGTGTCTTCGTCGACGTTCTGGAAGGCCTTCGTCTCTGGCCCTGAATTCGACCTTAAGCTTTGTTCCTGCATCCATTGGTCCCTGTAGGTAATCCTTCAACCCTATTCCTTCCTTCAACATTCCGTACACTCCTAGACACTCCTTGTCCTTGGTTTCTTTCCTTAGTTTCTGTTCTCCTCCCTCGGCACAAGCAACAGATATCTTCGCCTTGAACCCCTTTAGACCCTCCGTTTCCAGCGTTTCATCTTCGTCGATGTCGAGCCCCTTCCATACGTCCTCTACAACCTTGACCCATTCCGTGGGTTGTCTACCCCTCTTTTTGTTTGCCCACTTCGTCTCCCATACTATTCTCGGCATTCTCTCCTCTCCCATCCCGCACATGCAATACTGCCATGTCAGCTTCCTTGCGTCTCTTCCCGACCGTTGGGATTGGATCCCCAATTCTGCCCTGACGGCTGCATTACGTGTGCGCTTGGAGCATCCTAGGATGATTTTCGCTGCTTTCATCTGCGCCGCCTCGAGTTCTTTCACTACCTTCTTATCTCCCATACTTCTCCAGCGTACTCTAGCGGCGGTACGATTACGCTCTCCAAAACCGTCAATTCGATGTGTGTATCGAGGTGTCGGTTTGCGAGTATTGGGTGCAGCTTCCCTGCTCGTGCTTTGAGGCAGCGGTGGGAGTACTCATAGTCGTGCATGCCGTAGTCGTTAGACCATTGACCTCGCATCCCTACAAAGCCGGGACGGAGCACGCCGGGTTCTCACCGGACCAGGCTCTCACATCACCAAGCGCGAAGCGCCGTGAGATATTCGGCGAGTCGCATGAAGGGTGCGCTGCATCCTGCTAAGGGTGTTCGGCATCTTGTGCTTACTTCCTTGCGTACGGATGGAGGCTGCGTATGACTTAGTTTATTTTCTGGTGCTTTCACTTCCAGAGACAGTTGTAAGCACTGTGTAACTGCCTCGAGGGTGCTTGACCATTTTAACACAACGTGGTGCGATCATCCCCCTTGCGCGGAGTGAGGGTTCTCCACCCCGCACAACATGATCTACTCGACCACCATTATGGTTACCGCCAAAAAAAAAACCGGAGGTAAAAAAAAAAAACGGTAACCTGGTTGCCGAGTTCACGAAGTGAATTGGGTTGTTTTGCGACGTCGTTCCCAAGCGACGAAAACCCGATCCCGATGGCAAACACCGAGGGCAGCTGCTTGTTTTACAACGTCGTTGCCAAGCGACGAAAACCCAATCCCGATGGCAAACACCGAGGGCAGCTGCTTATTTTACAACGTCGTTCCCAAGCGACGAAAACCCGATCCCGATGGCAAACACCGAGGG